AAAAACTAACAGAAAAAAATCCCATGCAACGGGCAATGAGGTATTGTGTGCGACACCTCTATCTATGTGTGTGTGTGTGTGTGTATGTGTGTGTGTGTGTGTGCGTGAAATATATGTCAAACATTGCACCACATGACACTGATTGTGTGCCGCTGGACCACCTCGCTCGTCCTTCAACTCCCTCTTTCTTTCCTCCTTACTCCCTATCAAGAACAACGAAGAAGAACATAAAAAAATAAAAAAACATAAGTAAGGTGTTGTGTGCTCTCTCTCTCTCTCTCTCTCTCTCTCTCTCTCTCTCTCTCTCTCTCCTTCTTCTCCCCCCCCCTCCCCCCCTTTGTGTGTGTGTGTGTGTTTTACATTTTCACCAACATGAGTAGATTTAAAATCGAAGTAACTTTAACCCTATTTCATAAAATGAATCATACTATGTATGTGTGTGGCTCCCCGAGAAAGCTGTCAAACAGTGTACCACATAAAAGTAATCATGTGTCAGTGGGTCATCTCCTTCTATTCTGCTCTCTCCATCCCCGTCTCTCTCTCCCTTATGGAACCCCAACAACGAACACGATGACGTGTAACAACGACCAAAAAAAGAAAAAAGAAACTAACATGAAAATGTGACACATACCATTCCAGGCAAAACAGTGCACAACACCTCGGCATTGTCACAAAAACTCTCTCCCCACACACACATATACACATACATCAATGTGACGTATGACAACATTGCAACAAAGACCGAGGGGTAAGTCGGGCAGAAGGCATGTAAGGTGGGCACTGAGCAGCAGGAGGAAAAGAAAGAAAGGGATGTGGAGCAAAAGATAAACCAACAAAGACCGGCGAATAGTGGCTGCAGCAAAATAAACAACGGAGGAGGAGGGTGGAAGAGAGAGAATATGACATGAGGTAGAAGAGACAAAAAAATAAAATGTTAAATAGAATGTTGTAGGATAATTAATGACGACTCACCTCCGAACCACTTTAAGATTAGTGCCACTTATTATGAGCGGGCAGATCGTTTTTGTGCGGAAATGCATCGCTTGTCTTTCTTCTCCTTTTCCCCATCTTATCCTATAACTCTGCCTCCCTTCTCCTGACTGTTCTGCCTCGCCCCCTCCTTGAGATCCCTACCTATACATTTCCACCGTCACCTGCTCTTTTACCAACAACCGCCTAGAGCACAACACGTTCGTCTTCCTTTTCCTACCGACAGCCTTCATTGGCTATGTTTTTTTTTTTTTTTTTTTCATGAGCTTATGGTCGACGTTCTGGGAAAGTCGACAAATAATGGTCAATGGCCAACCAACATCCCCCAACCTCTACACTACAGCAAGTTGTCATGGTGGTGTGATATCAACCACGCTAGACCCAGTAGGATGTGCAACTCGAAGGACCTAATAGGAGACGTCGACCAAACCAGGGGCAGAAGTTGTGGGACAATCGCAAGATGGACTTGACATGGCGGCCCTTCCCGCTTAATTGATCAGTTACCAATACGTGAATGCCAACTCCAATAGCCAATCGACATTTTCCAAGTGCAGGCCTCACCCACCCCTCTGGAATGGATTAACTGCCTTCACATTTTGCTCCAATGGCCCAAGGGCACGCCTCACCCACCTGCTAGAATGACCAAATTGCCTTCACAATACTTTACAGCGACAAATTAATTTTTGGTTTTCATGGGTATGTGGATGCCCGTGGGCAATGAAACGTGCACCACACCGTCGAAAAAAAAATCAAAGTCAACCTTACAAATTCACAACTACACAAAAATGAGATTGACCAATCTAAATAATACGGATTTTTCCAAGGGAGAACGAATTGTTTATTTACGACGGAAAGTCATATGGGCACTAGAATAAAAACAAAAAATTGTTGTATGGCCGGGAAAATTTAAGTTTAAATTGAAAGTTTAACTTTCAAGTATGATTTTGGTTAATAATTTTTTTGTTGTACACACACACACACACACACACACACACACACACACACACACACACACACACACACACACACACACAGAAAGAGAGAGAGTCGAGCAATGTTACAATTGATAGTCGTCCTTAAGTTACCTGAGGTAGATGTGTCCCGATCTAGCCATAAATGCAGGTAGTCACCTTAATGACAGATCTAGCAGGAGTTCGCATGCACATACATATAGAGACACGCAATCACACACACACACACACACACACGCATACACACACACATATTGAGAGAGAGAGAGAGAGAGAGAGAGAGAGAGAGAGAGAGAGAGAGAGAGAGAGAGAGAGAGAGAGAGAGAGAGAGAGAGAGAGAGAGA